TCCCCTTTTCGGTGTCTCCCAGTTTGGCTATGCAGTTCGCAGGTTCTGTTTGCCAGCAGGAGGCGACCATCTTGCTCGATTCGGGCAGTCAAGCCGCTCATTTACTCAGCGCAGGTTTTGCACGGCGCGTGGGTTTGGTGGTTAAGCCACCTGACGGTTCGACTGCAGCACCCAAGATCGTCGTGGGTAACGGACAGCCAGTTCCATTTGTAGGCTTTGCTGAAGTGCCTGTTCGTATACAGGGATATAAGGCTCGCTTGCAGTGCGCTGTCGTTGAATTTAGTCCCGCGTTCGACCTTATTTTGGGTGAACCTTGGATTTCGGCTACTGGGGCTATTCTTGAGTTATGCAATAACTTGAGTTATGCAATAACGCTGCCCGTTTAACTCGTATCTCGGGTCGTCCTGTTTTGCGTAACGGTCCCTTTACACCGATCCCTCAGCCTTCTAGTTCTTCTCCTGAAGTTCTGGATGCAGTTGCGCATTGCTCACTTGCGCAGGCCATGGAGGAGAGTGACACGTTCTACTTATGTCTCGTCTCGGCTGCGGATCCTGTTCCGGATGCTGTCAATTTGCCGGGGGGGAAGTCGTCACTTCCGCCATCGCAGTCGTCTGTTTCCGCTTTCGCGCAGAAGGTTAGTGACGTCGTGCGCGGCGAGTCACCTGCGGATTTGCGTCTTAAGGCTTTGTTGCTGGAAAAAGCGCATTTTATTTCCAGACCAGTTGCCTGCTTCGTTACCTCCTGATCGTAATTTGCCGCTTGTCGTTCCGTTGGAGCCTGGTGCTCGTCCACCTGCTCAACGCATGTTTCGCTATTCGCTCCCTGAGCAAGAGGAAATGCAAAGGCAAATTTCGGATCTTTTGGAGAAGGGATTTATTGAACCTTCGTGTTCGCCCTTTGGTGCGCTTGTCTTGTTCGTTAAGAAGAAGGATGGGACTTTACGTATGTGTGTTGACTATCGCGCAGTCAACAGCCTCACGATCAAAAATGGTTTTCCGTTGCCTCGGATAGATGATTTGTTGGATCGTTTGCGAGGTGCGACGGTTTTCAGCTCACTCGATTTAACGCAGGGTTATCACCAGTTACGGTTAAATCCTAGCGATGTGGAGCGTACCGCGTTTCGCACTCCTTTCGGGCATTATCAGAGTATAAAGTTATGCCTTTTGGCCTGACTAATGCTCCTGCTGTCTTCCAGTCTGCCATGAATCAAGCCTTGCAGGGTTTGCCGTTCGTGGTTCGTGGACGATATTCTGATCTTCTCGAAGACCGCCGATGAACACGTTGAGCATCTGCGTGCAGTGCTTGAACGTCTCGAACAGCGTCAGTTCTACTGTAAGCTGTCCAAGTGCGAGTTCTTCAAACCGTCCGTTTCGTTTTTGGGGCATATCGTATCGGCCGACGGTGTACGGCCCGATCCTCGGAAGACTGCTGTTGTCCAACAGTGGCCTTTGCCCAAGAATGTTTCGGAGCTTCGGTCTTTCCTGGGTCTTGCTAATTAATTCAGGAAATTTATTCGTGCGTATGCGGCTTTGGTTAAACCGCTAACGGACTTGCTTTCTCCTAAGACTAAGTGGTTTTGGTCGGAGAAATGTGAAGAGGCTTTCCTTCGTGTTAAGGAAGCGCTCACTCAGGCGTCAGTGCTTGCTTTGCCGGATCCTCGTGAACCTTTCGAGGTGATCGCGGATGCTAGCGACTTCGCATTGGGTGCAATTTTGCTTCAGCATGGAAGGCCAGTGGCTTTTGAGAGCCGTAAACTGATTCCTGATGAGTTGAACTACATCGTCACTGAAAAAGAGCTCTTGGCCGTCGTGCATGCGCTCAAATTGTGGCGTTGTTACCTCGAAGGTGTAAAGTTTACGGTCGTTACAGATCACGAACCTAACACCGCCATGCGCCGTAAGTCCCTGTTGTCTCGACGTGTGGCGCGGTGGTCGGAATTTCTGGAGTCTTTCGATTTCGAATGGCAGTATCGCGCGGGTCGTTGCAATCCTGCAGATCCGTTGTCTCGGCTTCCGGGACACGTCGATGTTGAAACGACGAAGGTTATGACGATTAGTGCTCAACGGTTGGGAGAAATTTCTGCCTTCCGTGACACCACCGTAGAGCTTAAGTGCTCTTTTCCTATGTTCGAGTCATCGGTACTTGATGGGTATGGTCTCGATCCTTGGTTTAAAATATCAGAAAACACGGTTGCATTATCGCAACGTGGTCAATTCTGGTATCGAGGAGATGCGTTGGTTGTGCCAGATCATGCTGATTTGCGTACTACCGTTCTGCGTCTTTGTCATGACCATCCGTTGGCAGGCCATACGGGCGTAACCAAAACTCTTGATTTGGTGCGTCGTTCGTTTTGGTGGCCTAGGTTGCGTCAATCGGTCGCAGCGTACTGTCGTACGTGTGACAGCTGTCAGAGGGTAAAGGCAGATACCAGTCTCCCTGGTGGTTTGCTTCTTCCGCTGCCCATTCCTGATCAGAAGTGGTCTTTCGTGACCATGGATTTTATTACTGATCTGCCTCCCGATCCTGATGGCTATACTTCGATCTATGTGTTTGTGGACAAACTCACCAAGATGGTTCGGTTTGTGCCCTGTAAGGCCTCTGTTGACTCTGTCAAAGCGGCTGAAATCTTCGTCAACACCATTGTGTGTTCGTACGGTGTTCCGTCTGTCGTTATTTGCGACAGGGATCCTAAGTTTACCTCTGCATTTTTCGAGTCGCTTTTTGATGGATATCAAATCGACTTGCGTCGCAGTTCTGGTTATCATCCTCAAACGGATGGCCAAACAGAACGTGCAATTCGTGTTCTGGAGGATATGTTGCGTCATTTCGTTTCTGAAGATCAATCCTCATGGTCCCGTTATCTGCCGATGGCTGAGTTCGCCATGAACAATTCGTTGCATGAATCTACGCGAACTACTCCTTTTCGGTTGATGTACGGATATGAACCCCTAACTCCGGCTTCTCACCTGGTTCGCAAATTGGGGGAGGAGAGGGCCAAGACGCGCTTGCAAAGCGTGGCCAAACTGTCTAATCCGTTATCTGTTAAATTCTGTACGGATATGCAGAATGCTTTGGAACGAGCTAAGTCTTGCTTGGCTGCTGCTCGAGATCGGATGAAGAAATGGGCTGACAAAGGTCGCTCGGAACAAGGACTTTCTGTTGGTGATCGTGTATTCTTGAGTACGAAACACATGACTATTAAAGGTGTGCGCAAATTGCTGCCTCGCTTTATCGGACCCTTTGTGGTTAAGGAAAAGATCAACGCGGTTGCGTATCGGTTGGATCTTCCTCCTGCGGTGCGGATACATGATGTATTTCATGTGTCACTCCTTCGTCCGTATCACGATGGTGGTCGCGTTCAGCTACCTCCGCCACCTCAGATTGTTGAGGGTGAATTGGAGTTCGAAGTTCAGTCTATTCTACTTCATAAAGAAGTGAAAGAAGGACGTCGACAAAAGCGTTTCTACCTAATGCGTTGGAAAGGTCAGGGCCCGGAATTTGATTCGTGGGAACAGATGGGAACCCGAAGCAAACCTAACTAACTGCGGCGATTTGTTGCGCGACTACTGGGCACGTCAATCTGACTCAGTTCCAACCTCGAAGTCCCAAGGTCAGACGACACTTCCGAGTGACGCTGACGCTTCTGGCTCGAAGCCGCATCGAGCTCCTCAGACTACTCGTCACGGCCGTGTGATCAAAAAGCCTTCGCGCTTTAATGCTTTTCTCAACCACTTGTCTGTCACCAGCGGGGTTCCGGAATCCCTGCTTTTTCCTCTCGTGTGGCGGTGAAGCCAAGGTTGGCTGGCTGTCGGGACGACCAGCCATTTAGGGGGGGAATGATGTAACGTGCAAGAGCAGTTACATAACTCTCAATGCTTCTCTTCAACGGGGTTCACATAGCTATTCTCAAGACCTTCCTTTTGCGACGTCGTACATTAGTGCGGGTCGTACACTGGATGGCTACATCTTCGATGGTGTATCGCATCCGGTGTCTTTTGACACCACCATGACTGGTTGTGATAAGCCTTAACGTAACAGAGTATCAAGCTACAGCGGCAGCTGTTTGCGAGGCTTTGTGGCTTCGCAAACTGATGGTCGATTTGGGTTTGCCTGAGAGCGCTATCAAGATTCAAATAGATTCCCAGGGGGCGCTTAGCTTAGGAAATAACCCGATTAAGTCTGTTCGGTCGAAGCACATCGATGTACAACAGCACATAGTGCGTGAGAGGGTGAATAGCGGTGAGGTGCAATTGGAGTAATGCCCTATGGAGTGGATAGTTGCGGATGTGCTCACGAAGGCTCTGGGCGAGGTGAAATTCACACATTGCTGAGATGCCATGGGCCTTGTGTGAAGCGTGCTGATTAACTTGATACTCGCTGGGATATAGCCCGAGGGGGCGTGTCGAGGAAACGATTCTCTCCCAACTCGTGTGGTTGATGACCAGGGGATTTGACCCCGGGTCTGCGACTAACTATTGGGGAAGACTTACCCCAGAACTTTATGGGGCTACCGATGCATAACCAGTAGCGAAGATGCGATTGTTACAGTGGACCCCGAACGGGTCGAGTGCAGCACCCATAGGAGCGCCTCCCGCACAAGTGACATTATGGCACCGTCAGGACGGCGCAGTGAGATCGCAGAATGTACGTGCAGTTAGATCGCGGAATGTACGAGTTTTCCGCTAGCGCCAGTATTTAGGGTGGAGACTGCGCTTATTTGTTTATCTCACAACGATCGGTATTCCTACCAGGAATCTCCTAAAGTCCTGCCGAACGCAATCTTACATTTCTTGTAACAGTTTATCGTGTTCAATATCTTCGCCGGCATTCCTTTCCGGAATAACAATCAGCGTTAGCCGTCGCCGTCGCCAATTCTCCAATAAAACAGACAAAAAAAGACGAAAAAGACAAAGACCAACATAACGCACAGCTCGCGAAGACGCGGGAAGAAAGCGGCAAAATGATAAAAAAAGGGAACTTTAAATGGAATGAGAGCAAAATCATCCAGGGTTTCTGGTGAAGCAGCTGGCCGCGGCCATTGCGGCTTCGTAGGGTGACCACAATGACCGCGGCCAGCTGCTGCCGTACGGTGGCGAAAGTGGCTCGCCGTGCAAAGGTGCATGACGGAGAATGGTAGTGTGCACACCGCAGTCTGAAGGAAAGGCGGCACCGGCATGTGTGCGTATGTGGAAGTGCTATGTGGGTGGGTGGATGCCACTGCTAGCGGTGGGGATATGGACAGCACGTTCAGGCAGCCGGACGCACATCACAACCGTTTACACACACGTTGAAGAGGGGAAATGCATGGCGCCCCGGCACTGTTGACGACACAAAGTTTGTAGAACCGTGGTGCACTGTAGGGTTGTAGGGATAGGCAGGTCTTTAGGCCCCAAAACAAGCCGGCAGCTGTGGTGACTGCAAGGTTTTGATGCCAGTCTTTCCTTTCAGGCGTGCAAGGCACGCTGCATGAGCGCGCTGCGAAACACACCTGACGCGCCAGCAACATGCAGCAACCGTTGCGCGTCTTGATAACAGCGCACTGCTATCATCGGCCTGCCGCGCCGACCGAAGCTGCATGTGCCCAGGTTTAATGCCGCTTGGTGGTTATACAAGGAACCGCGCGACCTTGCAGCGCTCCTCTCGGGTCGGATGAAGGCCAGCACCAACCTTGCCGGCAATGCGGTGTACATTGCCCATGCCCGCTGCTTATGAAGGCTGCACTCAGCAAGCCAAGCAAGCGAATATTCAGACCCTTTACGCGGCCCGCCAAGGGCTTCACATTTTGGGCATGATAATCAAGCCGCTTCAGCTCCCGATCGAATTTCGCCCGCCCGTGAATTTTACGCACATACGTGTCAAGCCCGTGTTCCCGGCTTTTGAGAGCTGGCCTTTGCGCGGCCGGCCGTGGCGTTCGCATTTTGGAGTTGTACGAAGTTTTTATTCGGCAGTCGTTCCTGCATTTCGTTTGTATGAGAGCTGCTTCAGCAAAATAATGATTCGCTAGCTCGGCTGCTGAGAGGGCCGGCCACTAGGTCGCCGGCTCCTGAGAACCTGCCACATCCATGGCCGCATCGGGTAGCACTATTGGTGAAGACATGTCAACGGACGGCTGAACCCCCAGTTTAGACGACCTGTGTGTGACTCTGTGTCGTCGACAGTGCCGGGGCGCGATGTGATGTGCGTCCGGCCGTCTGAACAAGGTGTCCATATCCACACTGCTGACTTCCACCCACCCACGTAACACTTCCACATACACACGCACACCGGCGCCTCCTATGCTGCAGACTGCGCACTACCAGTCTCCTTCGACATGTTATGCACGGCACGCCACCGTACGGCCGGTCACCCGCAATAAACGCGGCCAGCTGCTTCACCAGTAACACTCGATGATTGGAGCTTCAAATTATAATACTGCGGCTGTCATTGCTGACTTTCAGGCGGTGTATTCATATCGTTTAAAAAATCGTTGGTACATTTGTCGGTGGGCAGTTGGGCATTTGAAATTGGTACTCAGCATCCTCTTAATTGGGCATAATCATTGTGTAATTTTGGAAACTGTTGGTAGTATATTTGTCAGTGGGTAGCGGAAGTGCGTCATAGTATTCATATTTGGTCCCCCCACCGCGCCCAAAAGCGGGAGGTGGGAACTGGCTCATAGCTCGATGCAATGCAGCAGTTATCTTTTGAAGTATTTACAATGTGATAATATGATAACAGCATCGGCAGGACTTTTGGAGATTCCCAAGAAGTATACCGCTCCTTGGAAGATGAGGCAGAGATGCCTGCGCTACCATTGTCTTATGTACCAGCGCCGGCGGAAAAAACGATGGGTCGCCAACCACATACATTCCGAGATCTCGTCGCTCCGAGACTTCACTGACAGTCCATCGAACGTTAACCGATACTTGCCCTCACTACGACGACCCCACAAATTATCCAACATGACATATCGATCAAAGTTTTCTATCTTTATGTTGGGATGGGACCGTTTCTTCAATGTCCCTCCGACCCCAAAGAAGTAAACAGTCTGTTGTGAAAGTCGGCCGTGACCACGCATCTGTCAGTTGGGCTGCCGCACCACATTTATCTTATAACATAGTGAAGTGAGCTTTAAGCTGTTTAAGTAGCTCATGGGATTCGGTGTGCTCAGGATACGCCTGGAGGGCTTGGTTGACCTGCAGCAAAAGGGTGGGGTGCACGAAGTTAGCAAGAAGCCAGCGCTACAGAGATGGGGTGGAGGTAATGTCATGACCATCGAAGAAAATGAGCCTGCCCAGGACGCGATCTATTTTCGAGTTAAATGCCCTTCCTTCACTGGATGCAGTAGACAACCACACCAGGGTGTAACACTTGCAGCTTAAACAGCTGTTTGCTGTCCCTCCCCCATTGAAAAAAGCGCTCATGAATTATCTTCTGTTGTGTATATCCTGCCTTATCAGAAAAGGACATCCTGGCTGAGTGCACAGGCATGCATCAGTCAGGACATATGCCCAGGATGCATCCAAGTAGCCGGGTGCCATCTATATTGTGTTGGAAAGTGACCGGCACTCATATACCAGAGAATGGTGACAGCAGTACTAGGACCCAAGGGGGGTCCGTGGCGCTTTGCTGGTCTTCACACATCGTCCAGCCTCCTCCCCCACCCTCAAAGTGGCCATGAAACTCATCTTGTTGGCCCGTGCTCTCAACCATCATCTCCCCAACCATAATTTAACTATAGCCCCTCCCTGGTAATAATAAACAGCTGTTTTCAAAACACGCACAACCCTTCCCCACCATCCACCTATCACGTTCCCTCTCCTTGCTTCATGTAACCCATGTAACCCATCTCGCGCCCAAACCTTACAAGCTCGAAGCTGACTTGGAAGTCTCCAGCCTTGAAAGCCAGCAACGCCCCATTGAAGAATACCTCGAACACGTGACCGCCCTCACGCTGCCCGGAGCTGAAGCCAAACATGCACACGCAGTTTGAAGGGGAAATCACATTTAAATGTGTCGTATGTGTCTCACGAAAGCCCTTGTGTTTTGACGCAGCTTCTACTTAGTCCTAGACAACGCAGACCGGATTGGCACACCGCAGGGTTGAGAGTGCGCCATCTCACTGGCCAGGCCAGCACTCCTCTCCAAATGAACAAACCTTTCCAAGGCCGTTCCATGGCAGGACCGTTGCAAATGCGTAACCGTTGTGAGCACACTGCACGGCAGCTGCTACCATGGAAGCTGGAGCGAGCAATGGACCCGCAAGAGATCACTCCGAGGGATGGATGCCCAAACACAGAAACGTGGGTATGTGCCAGAAAAGCGGAGATGTGTAAGACCAGGGAAGAGCAGGGAGGCGGATAAACACCGGTACAAAAGGATAGATAAGAGGCAAGCGGGGTCATGGGCAAGAGGGAACGGGGCCATCGGCATACACAGAAAAGGAAAAGGTTGGTGGCTTGTCTTCAGGGCATCCAGCACATTGCCAGCCACTAAGTGGCACAGCACGTATGTACACTGGCCCCCATCCGCCCTCACCGGAAGAGTGCCGCAGCCGAGTCATCGTTGCCCTTGCGGTACTCCAGCACTCCCAAGTTGTTGAACGCCTCAGCGTGATTCGGGTTGAGGCTGATGGCAATCTGGGGGCAGGGGGCCAGGGGCCACAGACGGGGGTTAGTTAGGGGGTCAGAGACACGCAGGGAAGGCAACACGGGAACATGTGGGAGGGGATGACACAGGCACGAAGCATGAGCGGCGCCTGGGCAGGTGAACAGGAAAGCGTGAATACCAAGAGATTAACTACACACTACAGCCCAGCGACAAGTGCGCAGAAGCCAGCAGGTGGTGCTGCTGCTGCTGGACGTGGTGGACCCTTCTTCGCACCTTGAATGCCTGGTAGGCCAGAGCCAGGTCCCCAATGCCCACTGCAGTCTGGCCAATGTTGTACCACACGTCCGGAAGGGTGTTATCGTCCGCCAGGGATAGCGCGCGGTCAAAGCAGCCCAGACACATGTCGTACTGATGGGTAGGACAGGGTAAGGCAGGGCACATGAGAGGTAAAGTTAAGGCATGGTTGGCTTCAGGTTATGTGGCGAATCTAAATGGAAACCGGGGTGCCGCCTCGTAGCTTACAAGGCGCCTGATGAGCAGTGCGATGACATCCGACTGGGCGGTCCGTGTTACCGCGCACTTCTGTACACTCCTGCTCAGCTGCTCTGTTTGGACTGTACTCCGCTAATTGACTGCCCTCGATGTACATTTTCGACTTTGGGTCTTACTGTAGGGTGCTTGGCTACGGACGTCTGTCGGTCAGCCCTGCTGTTCCTGGCCTTGCTTGACGGCCAGGTGTGTATCTTGCACCATCTTGCTTGCCTGTTTACTTCTTTGGGGTCGGTGGGGTAGGAGGGGTTGTTCCAACCGGCTGAGCTTCTTGCGTGGCGGTTGGTTTTATGCTTTATTCTTTGGGCTGGATATCGCTGAGCTGAGGGCCTTGGGTGTCAGCTGCCCCCTCCCTAGTTTGTCCTAGGGAGGGCTCGGGTTCCGCCTGTTTTTCTCTTCCTGCTTGTCACGGTCCTGTTTTTTCACGGAGTTCTTCGCTGCTGTTCTTTGCCGCATTTTAGAGGTTGCGCTTGCAGGGATTCCCTCTTTGGCATTGCTTTGGACGACCGGGCTTTAGGTGTTCTTGTCTGCTGTCCTTGTCAGCTAGCTCCGTTGCCGCACGTTATCCGTTTGTGTGAGCGTCCTCACAGAAGACAGTGTGGCGGGGTGGGGGCTAGGGGGATGTGGTGTTTCATTGTCTTTACTAGGCGGCGGCCAATGGGGAGAGACACAACGGGAAAGGTTGCAAGTAGGGGCCAAGAGGGGTCGGAATAACACCACCAGTGCAGGCTGCTAGGACACCACCGCAACTGGGTATCGAACCTCAACCAAGCCTCCACCCTAGCACCACCACCACCACCACCTGCCCCACACATACGTGTGCGATGTTCCTAGCACATACACACGCGCGTGTGTGCCGTGCAGTTCGGTACCCTGTGCCCTCCCTGGGCCCCTGCCATCCCACCCACCCCCACTCACTTGTGAGGCATAGAAGCAACACAGTCCCAAATTGTTCCACAACTCCGCATTGGTGACGCCCATTTGCAACAGCCGTCGGTAGTAGCTGGAAGTAGGGGGAATGGGCGGGGCGGGGAGGGGAGAGATTGAACGGAAGCAAGGGGAAGGGTTAGGAAAGGGGTAATGGTAGATGAAGACAAAAGATACTCAAGTGCAGATAAACACCGAGCGGGGTTGTGCGGGTCATTACGACAGAATGCAGCCCTTGTACGGCCCGTGGACCCCGCCGTACAGGCCCGTACGGGCTCTCCACAGACCTTTTTAGGTTGACGCAACTTAGCAAGGAGGTGTAACACAAATACATTAAATTTCTTTTGTTATCTATAGCGTTAAAAAGTATCAAATGTGGTACAGATAGCCAAATCGGGTATCGTGCGTGTGTAGCTGTCCGTCCGTCCGTCTGCACGCGGCCACCCACCCTCCAGCCTCAACGTACCCTGGACCCCTTGGACAGACACTCATCAACCCCCCTAGGAACTCGTTCAATCTCCCATCTCAATAAGTTTACCCACCCCCACCCCCCATCCGTGCTCCCGCTCTCTCTCACCGCAGGGCGATTTCCGGCTGGTCTGTGTAGAAGTGATGTGCTGCCAGACATGCGATCGCCTCCACATTAGACGCATCATGGAACAACACGTTCTTGTAAAAGGACACCGCCTTCTCCGCGTCGCCCAGTGCGTCGTACACCCTGGCCACGCCCAGCAGCAGAGACGAGTCCCCAGGATGGGCCCCCAGGGCCGAGGTGTAGTGCTCCAAAGCCGTATTGGGCTTGGGGAAGGGGGAAAGGGAGGTCTTAGGGAGATGCTCACACAAACGAACCCAGACGTTACCCCAATCGCGGGTATGGGGGATGTGGGAGAAGGGGGAGAGAGTTGGCGGTGTGTGATCTTGCTGCCCATTACCCACCTTCACGCATGATCAGCAGACCTCCTGCACCTGACCCTCATCATTGCAGAGCACCCACCTGATGCTCCTTGAGAACCTTGAGACCTGGCCCCTTTTTGATCCCCCCGCTTCCCCCCTCCGATGTCCGAACCGCCACCCTAACCCCCACCACTGGGGTTTGCTCGTCCCTACCTCCACACCTCAAATCCCGCTACCCACCCACACATACATCCCATCCCCCACCCCCATACCTGGTCCATCCTCAGGTATATCTTACACAACTCCTGCACGCAGCTGATCATAACGGCTCCACCGTTGAGACCGTTAGCCGTTGGGCCCAAACCCGCTGCTCCTTGGCCCCCCACCCCTCCAAGCCCCCCGGCCCCTGCTGCGACTGCTGACTGCCCCTGACCTAGTGCGCTCTTGAACTGCCGCTCCGCATCCCGCAACAGCCCCAACTGGTAGTAGCACTTTCCCAGCCGGGCCTTCCACCACCAGTCCTGGAGGCAGGGCAGGAACGGGAAGCAGGGTGGGGAGGGTCAGGACGAGGGCTCACGACACGCAAATCCGTATCGAATTCATATCCCTTAAGCACGCTGCTTGCGTCCCGACCAGGGTTGGACAGGACCTTCCTGAAATGGTCGGGTTGCCGGTTTTCCCCTTCCCATGCCCGTCGGCCCCACCCGATAGCGTTTTTGCATATCTTTCAATTTCTGTCGGGTGCCCCGATAGTCCATCCCAAAACCTGTCGGGTGACGCAAGAACGAAATTTCGCTGTGTGCCGCTTGAAATTACATTTATTCGTATTTTATATGCGCAGTTTCCAGTTCTCAGTTTGCAGTTCACAGTTCTGATATGCACGAACACACACACACACACACACACACACACACAGCAACACATGCACGCCAGCACGTCTGCCTGTGAGCATCGCAACCCGAGCTCTTCACGGAGACCCTTACAGGACGAGGCAGCAAACGTTCGAAAGGGTTATGTAAAGCTGCATATGGTCTTTGTATTAATTGTCAATAAGGTCGAGATAAGGTAGTGTGCCCTTCGCTTATGTATCCAAGCATGGATCCCTGTACAGCAGAGTCAAAGGATAAAGAAGAAGAGGCAACGAAGTGAACGAATGCTACCACTACATTACATATTTCCATCCAGTTATATTCTTAATGCCATTATGTATCGCTGTAGCTGTCCGTCGCCGAAGGGCCAACCGACGACCCACGGCACCCGATCGGGCGGTCCTAGCGCCCCTAACCCTGTCGGGTCCCCCGACGGGAGCCCTCCGGGCCCCGTCGGGGGCTCCCGATGGCCGTTTGGCATTTTCCCCTTTTTTCGTCGGGTCCGCCCGAAAGCATTTTTCAAAGCCTGTCGGGATTTTCAGCACAAGTGCCATTCCTGTCGGGACCCGATCGGACTGTCGCACCCTGGTCACGACTTCCTCCCCGGCCCCCCGGCCGCAAGCCCCCTTGCGCCGCTCCATCACCATCACCTGATACTCCGCCACCTGCGTCGCTAGAGCACACAGCTCCAGCGCCCTCTTCATGTTGTGCTCCGTGTAGATGAGGTAGTCACACAGCACTCGGGCCAGTAGGGGTCTGGCGGCGTACTTGCGCAAGTCCAGTCGATCCACATTGATGAAGGGGCCACCCGGCTCGGAGGCCAGGCTGGCGGTGCCCAAACGAATGAACCTGGGGGGTGGGGGGTGGAGGAGGGGGAGGCCCAGGACGGGGCCGGCCGGGGCTCAGGGGGGCGAGATAGAAGGAGGGGCCGCAACTGAGCCCCTGCATGCGATGCACCTGGGGCCTGTGTCCGGTCCCTTACTGAGTGTTCCTAACAAAGGCCGTTGCAAGGCTGTTCCAACCCCCCTGTCCCTGGAACACCCCGACCCCCAGACGGCAGCCCCCCCCACAAACCCCCCCGGCCCCACACCCGCGCGCAGCCCCCCACCTGCCCGATGTCGTCACTGGGCGAGCCGTCCCTGGCTTTGCGGTCCTCAGCGCCTGCTGCAGACTGGCAGTTCCCGCCCTGCCCGATGCGGAGGTGGTGGGGCGGCTGCTGGTGCCGGGGCGAGCAAAGCCAGTCAGTGGCCGCCCACTGCCAGTCATGGGGCGCACTGCCTGGCTGGGGGCACCCTGGAAGGGGGGAGAGGGGCGGGGGAGGAGGAGAGGGGGACAAGGCAAAGGTAATGGAGCCCTGGTCACAGGGGCGGGTCGGGGTTTACGTGGGGAAGGGAAATCAACACCCGGAAACATCATTGGGGGGTTGGTTGTGCAGTATGGGGGTAATGAATGGCTGCTTAGGTTGTAAGGCCTGGAAGTCCGTCAAGAGGTGGCCCACGCAAGGTACAAATGCAAGCCGACCACAGTTACCAGCGGATCACCCCTCAACACATCCGGGCAACTTGAGGGCTTCAGGGCCCTTTGGGGTCGTCTTTGAGCTGTTCCAGACAGGCAACAAATCGGCACATACAAGTCACGCAGTCCACACCTGGGCCCTAGTAACCCAGAGGCCCCAGCACCACATCGCAATATCGGTGAGTCAGCAGTCAGGTCGGCAAGAGGGAGGGAGAGAGACGGATTTACCCGGTTGTAGTGGCTGGCCGCTGAAAAGGCCTCTTAAGTTGCTGTCGGAGCGCGTTAGCGCATATTTACAGACATGTGCGCCGTACTTCTACAGCTGCTACACCAGCGAGGCGGAGGCAGCGAGACAGGCTACCGCCCTGACGGCGGACCTCGGACCACCTCCACCTCCACGCACACTCACAGAGGGCCACACTGCACTGCTTGACTAAGGGGACGGAACCACGCGGACCCAAATCGGACACACAAGACACAACGGCTTCGTTTCATTCTTCCCCCTCCCCTGTCTCCGGCTGTGCTGCCTCACCGCCCCACCCGGTTACCTGCCCTGTCCGTCCAGTGCCACCCCTCGGACCCAGTGACCCAGGAGGACACGTGTCCCCCTCCGACCGAGTGTAGTCCCTCAACCCACCCCAAGGCCCCAGAATGATCGGGGCGCCGACCATTGAGGAGCCTTGGCGGCTCCTTCCCTCCATCCCTCGCGGCCCTCCCTTCCCCCCTGCCTGCCTGCCTGCCCCCCTCACCGATCCGGAGGCGCTGGTGAGAGGTCTTGACAGGGAGGTACCTGGGCGGGGCACCTGAGCCACCTGGTGCTCGTCCATGAGCACATCTGCAACACCCTGAGGGTGGAGAGGGCGGGTGGAGGGGGACGTGCATCAATCAGGTGGCGTAACCAAGGTAAGAGTGAATACAGGCATGCAGGCATCCGCTGTTCCAATTGCCGCGCGTGTCATGGGGGTTCCCATGTAGTCGTATTAATCAACAATGGAAATAGTTGTGGATGGTGGTTGTGGGGGTTTGGTGGAGGCATGGCCGAGCCTGGATGGTGGGGAGGGGGGTATGGCCGAGCCTGGCGACCAGACACATGAACTTGATCTCTTCGTCCCTGTCTACCAGTAATTGAGTGCGAGGGCTCACTAGCAGCATCCTGTACGCAAGGATGCGTTGGCAAAACCCAGGCTTTGTGCGCGCGACTACGGCGGAGTCGTTGCATGTGGTGGCGCACGAGGCCAGGATCATGGGTGGCGTGGAGGGGAAGTGCTCGCGATGTGGACGGTGGCGCTAAACAAGACCTTCTCGTGCCTAGAGACGTGAGTCCCCAACTACCATTTCTGCCGGCGACCAGCTTACCTCCTCCTCGATCTCCAGGTCATCGATCCAGTTCTTCAATGTCAGAGCCCGTGTCTTAAGGTACCATACCGCCTAGTTGCGACAAGAAGTCCAGAAGCCGAAGCTTAAGCGCATGTGTACGGTCGTGATGTCTGTAAGAGCATCGTCCAGGCATGAGAGGAAGCAAAGCCCGTCCCCTACGTCGGCATACCTGGTCGTATGGATTCTTCTCTAAAATGCCGGTGCATAGCTCGATGCAAGAGTCAAACTTTCGTCGCCGCAGCCTGCTCTGTGCTAACCATACGGGATTGACGCCATGAGCTTGCCCTTGCTGCTGCATGACTCCTAACTCGGGGCTTCTGGCGTCGCGACGCGCGGCCCTTGCGCGCCCTTGCCCCTCAGGCTCGCAATCCTAGGAGCACATATTTTTGTGAAAAATAATTGAGAACCTTCTCCGTTTATTTCCAAAAGTCCGTGACTATCTCGGGCACTTGTACGTAAACGACTTTTAAGGCACAGAAACAATGCACATGTCTTTTGTTGATAAATTTAGAGTGGTGATCAACTCATAACACGTGAAAAGAAAATGCATAGGATTCAGGATGTCAGGAAGTGTTCGGTGGTAACCGAAATCGCCTACGGCAGGCTGACATCATGTACCATGGGAAACCTGCATGCCGTCCTACAATACGCAGTTTGTAAGTGCAGCATATCGTCAAATCTATAGACAACCCAAAAATCTGCTGGTTTGTGTCGACAAAGGACCAAGCCCTTGCAGCCGCAGGCCCGTTTAAGACAGTCGTTGCAACGCCCAATTGGTCCTGGACAGTGACTCCGTACATAGTCTAGTGCATTTTACATTTGCCTTAATTGCCGATCGATTGATTACGGTGATGAGATAGGGCAACCGGGCTTGTGGCAAGCCAAGCCAACCTAAATGCAGCTGCAATCAAACTGGAGCGCTATTGGTGTAGGCAAAGGCATACACCAGTGGAGCTTGGGATCATCACAAACGAGGTAAGCTGTATTTGGTGGATAACGAACTTTTGCTGCCCACGGGTCGGAATTAAGCAAGCGCAACACCAGCGAGCATAGTTAAACATCTTAAACATTGACAGGAATTACTTGGCGCTGTTAGTGGTTGCGTTGGGGTCCTGCCCAAAGGGTGGTTGCCCGGGTCGTGCGAGTTGCTTTGGAACGTCATTATGACGGCTGGGTTCATGAAATGTGGCACCCACATACACATTACGTTCTGAGAGATTCCTAAAGACAATACCGAGCTTGGAACTCTTGCGTCTTCAAGCCTGCAAACGCCCTTGCTCACATTGGGTGGGAACCTAGCAGCTGCGTGACCTCAGCCGGCCCGGCTACTTGCTCCGTTCAACGTGACCGTGCATTGGACTTTGCTTTCGCAGCCTCCAAGCGAGGGTGTTGCTGCTGCCCGGGGCGTCTGCGTCACTGTCGCATCGACCCGTCAGACAGGCGCAACTCGGTATCAAAAGCCGCCTCAAGTCACACCAGTTCTTCCAGCTGACCAGCAGAGGTGCGGAAGGCGTTGGGGAACGGGCTCCTGAAACGTGAGAGTTATAACGGAAGGGGCCCCGAAACGGAATGGTGAACCCGAAACGCAGCCCGCGTTTCGTGGCTGCCTTCGGGCATCACTTTGGTACATTATGCTTGCACGGCAGCAATCCCCGTCTGTGTTATCCCCGTATGTGATTATCTTGACCCAGCTTACCAGCTGCTAGCTGCCTTCACTGGTGGTTTTGCAGTCCGCGCGAATCAGAGTTTCAGAGGTCCTACGTGACAGGGCAACAATGTACGAATGGATGCGTAAGCTACCCACTTACCCATACAGCGATATCCCGCAGTCGTCCAAGTCACCAAGTTGGGCCCCACCAAGGCACCTCTGGTTCCACCGTTCCACCGGATACAGTGGGGACCCAGTCCGGGAGACCAGATGCAGGTCTTCCGCATTCCTTCAACTTCGGATTCCGCAGGCCGACCAAGAATTCCATTATGTCGACGACCCATAGCTAGCTGTACCCGCACCCGTACCCGCACCCGCACCCGCAGCAGCTCGTCCCTCCTCATGGGGCTGCATCTCGTTGCTATCTCGGTTGCATTGCCTGCTGTCGTGCCGTACATCACAGCGTGCCTCCACCTATGTCCACGTGCCCGCTTAGGCCCCACCAACCATTGATCCTCCCTACCTTCCCACCTCGCCGATGATGATGTTCACCCTCCCTGACATGACACCCCAGTGTGGTCAGTAGCAGCAGCAGCATCCTCCGGAAGTGGCAGTGGGCGCCACAACAACAACATGGTGGTGATGGGGGGCTCTCTTCGGGGTCCAGAGGCGCAGCAGGCAGTGGCCACCGCGTCGGCAGCTGCTGGAGTGGGCACCGCGATGCAGCAACAGCAGCAGCAGCTGCCGCAGCAGCCCCAGCAACTCGCGGCTGGACCCGTTTCGCCGTCTTGCATTTCGTTGAGTGTTTCCTCCGGGGCCGTGGTGGCTCCAGATCTGGATTACACGGTGAGCAGTGGGCATCGCTGTGGCGCGTTGGGTCGCGTTGGAAGGGGGGAAGGCGAGGGAAGAGAGGCATGAGTGTACGTTTCTGACACGCAGTGCCTACGGAGGGGCAGTCGGCTGTCGACATGACGCGGTGAAAGTGAAGGACGTCCTTGCGCCTTCTGCAGCTGTTCCGCAGCTGCTTAGCCACAGCCGTTGCAGCCACATAAGGGGGGAGTCCAGGAAGGGGCTTTGGGCGGAGCTTGGCAGGGTATGGGAGGGCTGAAGACGCATTTGTGAGGTTGTATTGTGTCCTGCTGTCAACTAGATTGCGGCCGCCAGGAGACTTCCCTTCCCGCCTCCCAGTGGGCTTATTTCCCAGTGGGGCGGGGTGGGGGGCGGGGCGGGTTTCCTTTCCGGGGCCGGTGTTCCCGTGTTGTCGAACCCCACGGAGGCGACCAACAGCCATTTCGCCGGGTGTTGACCCGGCGAAATGGCGGTTGGTTGCCGTACGCGGAGTGGTAGGGGTTCGGCAGCGCAATGGGCGAGTGAGAAAGTGGGCCCAGGCATATCGGTTCCTGGTAGGCACCGTACCTGACCCGTCTAGTCCTGTCCGGCAGGCGTACGGATGTCCGGCGCGGGTACGGTCGAGGCAGACAGGGTTGGTGGGGGAGGGGATGATGCTGGCTGTCGCGATGGGGGTGCTGCTCGTTCCGATGCTCCTTAGGACTCAGCGTGGGGCCCCCTCCTCGTGTGGGCGCGCAGGTGACCAGACAGCAGGTGACACCGTGCAGGTGGCTGACGGGGCCAGACGGGTCGTGTACATGTGCTGCACTGCACTGCGCTGCACTGTACACACACCGCGGACGATGATGCGGCTGTCACTGCCACTGCTGTTATTGTTGTCGTTGTTGCAGGTGGTATTGGACATGCTCCATAAGAATGCGGCTGCCAACCAAGACGCCTCCCACGGGGGCGGTGTGGTGCTGGGGTTGACCAGCCCGGTGGGGCCCACGGACATGCTGGATGTGGTGATCGGCCAGGTGAGGTTGGATGGGGGTGCGGACGGGCGGCCAACCTGTTGGAGTTGGGGCGTCCAGGATGGGGACGTGAGCGGAACAGGGGGGGGCTGGTGGCGCGGAAAGGGAGGGCGCGGTTGCCCCTAAACACAGTACAGCCGCGTTTTGATGCCGTCGTTGAACTCGCTTTGAAAAGCATAGGAAAAAGCATAAGCTCGCCCACCGCCACCGCCATCTTCGCCTCCGTCATTCTATCCCGCCCCAGCTCAACTTCAAGCGCCTCCTGGCATGTGCTCGCAACAAGCTGTGGTGGATGACCCCCGAATGGCGCACCGCCAGCTGGGCTCTGCCGCCCGAGACGCAGTTCCTGCTGGCGGAGATGGCCGCTGCGGGGCCTTACGTGGTGCTGCTGCCGCTCATCGACGGGGACTTCCGGGGCACCCTGAGACCGCCGGCAAAGTGAGTTTTGGGTCCGATGTGCGATTTGAGGGGTGTTGCCAGGCGGGGGGACCCGAGGGGGGAATGGATGTGATGTGGGTGGGTTGGGGGGTGGGGCGGGCGGGCGGGGGGGGGGGGGAAGCGGAGAGAACCAGTGAGCTAGAAAGTGAGCGGAGGCGACCGGGCCCGGGACCTGATGAGGAGTCTATTAGCGCTGGATAACGACGAAACGGGGAAAACTGCTGGAAATGTGGGACGGGGGGACGAGCGACGGCGGGAGGTCGGAGGAATGCCCCAGAAATCGGAGCGCAAGCGCCGGAGTTAGCTCCCCCGCTCAGTCGAGGCCCCCGGGCGGCCAGGCAGCCAGGGGGGAAAGACGGTGCTCGGGGGGGGGGGCCCGGGGTAATACCGGTGCAGTGGGGGGAGGGGGGAGGGGTATGGAGAGCAACTGAAGGGCCCGCACCGTCCTGTTGGGGGCCAGCACAGCACGGGAGGCGGCGGGTAAGGGGCCCGGGTATGCGGGTGGGGCCTCCTGCCCTCCCCCAGGTAGGAGTGACCGAACTTCCCCCGGGAGAAAAGAAACGGCCCCGCAGGGAAACTGCTTTTGGACGACACCGACCGCACATGCGTCGGGCGTAGCTAGTTAGGATTAGATGCACACACACACACACACACATATACAGAGGGCCGCACACAGCGAGAGGTGCGGGAGGGGGCTCATCCTCAATTGAATGAGAAGTTGAAGTCGAAAGCCCCTAGAGCGGGTAACCTCATCTGGCCGGACGCCAATACCAAGGCCGGTGCGGGCGGTGGTGGTGGTGGTGGTGGTGGTGGTGGGCGAGGTGGTACCGCGTGGCAGTGAAGCTGCGCGAGGCGCCCCGCGTCCCACCGCCCACCCCACCGGCACTGGGCGCAGTGTGGGGTGATCCCTGACGGCGACTTCGGACGTTCTAGCTCTGACGACCAGTGCCCTTGACAGTCCGACCACCGTATACAACACGGTATAGCCCATCCAGTGACGTGAATACGGTCAAAGTGCCTCTTGAGCTGCTAACCGATATTTCCTACATCGGCTACACGGTAAGGGACAACTAAGGACGACTATCGTTGTTACAAACCACGTTGTCTTCTAGCATACGATCGTCTCACACATACATACATACATACATACATACATACACACGCGCGCGCTCACGTGTGTGACGTCTCCTTCCCGGAAACGACACCGTTTCCACCTGGTGCCTGCGGGCACACGAACACGTCCGCACACGTCCGCACCCACCACTGACACGTGACGACGGCCATGTACGACTGTGCTCGACTTGAGTCATCTGCGTGCGCTGTGTCATCTGCGAAGGCTGTGACGTCACCTCCGTTTGCTACCCACTTGCTACTGCGTACTAGCGGCAGGCTGTTGAATAACACCCACCTCCGAATGGTTTGCACACGTCTCGTCTAGAACACACTTTCAACCTGCACCGCCATCACCACTTCCACCCCGCCCTCCGCAAGCGCGTACATCACCCACCACCGAGGTCATCCATCCATCCATGTATTCCTGTATCCTGTATTCCACAGTCAGACAGTTGTCAGTTGGTGTACTGTACGGCCATATCCTTTCAGGGTTCTCCACCATCACCTTCACTACCAGAGACCCTCCCCACCCCCCTCGCACCGCCCTTCCCCTCCCTCACCGCCCCTCCCACCCGAGCGTGAGTCCAGTGGCCTCATGTGCACCACCTTCCCTCGCACCACCACACGCCCCTCTACGGCCAATGTCACCCTGATGCGCCGCCTCTTCGCTCGGGAGGAAGTGATTCGCGTCGTGTGTCCCCACCTCGCCCTGCCGCCGGGCAATGTCCTCCTCCTCCCCCGGGCCACTGCGAGGTCCCCCCCCCAGGGTGCTGCCCCCCACCCCACCTGAGTGCCCGCATCGCATATCAGTTGGGCCGCACACACCCACCTACGCATCGCATATCATGTACGACATGGCGCAGTGACGAAGAAGACGAACACGTTGCTGTCGTACATTACAGTCGTGCAGGATACCAGGACCCCTTCCGCCCCCACGCTGTCCCCTCCGGGAACATCGCGGACGGGAACACCTCGCGAAGGCTGCCCCGGAAAGGGGTCGAAACCCACCGTTTCTCACCCCCCCGCCACCCCCCACACACTTTTCCCCGCGGAACTCCCCACTCGGCCTCAGCACTGCGTTTGCTTCTGAAAGTTGTCCATGGTCAGGTTGGCGGTGAGTGCGGGTATGCAGTTGAACTTGCGCACAAAGGTCTCCACCTCCCGCGCCAGCCGCTCCCGTGTGAAGGTGTTGGGAACCAGTTCCATCCGACCACCGCCCGTGTACCTGCCGCGGCCGAGGTGGGGCCGGTCTTACGCGCGTGTGTGTGTGTATGCCTCTATGGATAGAGGAGGTAGCATGGCGGACGGGAGAGATGTGCTAGATGGCTAGCTCCCCACTTGAGGAGCGGATCTATCTATCTATCTATGCCTCCATCCTTTCCCACTGGTCAAGTCCTTGTCCCACCTCTTCTGGGCCCCTTTTATGGCTCGCCAACACCCGCTCCGGTCCCCTACCTGAACACGAGCAGCGCTGCCGGGTCGTCCGCGTGCTGCGGCTTCAGAGTGAAGGTGGTGGGTGCGCCCGCAGCCTCCGCAGCCGCGGTGGCCTCCGCAGTCACATCCACCCGGTAACCGAACAGGCTGTAGCAGGCCTCCCTGCAGCCCCACCCACCCACCCGGGGGAGGGGGCGACCGAGCCGGGGGGTCGGCTAGAAGCAAAACAAGTCGCAGCAGCAGACCCCACCTCCCAACATAACTCAACTTCGCCGAGGAAGGGAGGGCGCATATCAAGAAGGGGCGCATCCGCGCTGCAAGGCCAAGTCCCCGTCCTACGGGTGGTTTAATAACACCCACCCACCCAGCGGGGCCAGGGGGCGGGAGCGGCCTTCCGGTCAGCCTCTCGCGGCAGTCCGGTCCCCCCAACATCCCTCTCCCCCTCCCCCCCCCCCAAATACACACACCTAAAGACCGTGATTCGCTCTTTGAAGACCAGCTTCAAGCGGCTCATGGCCTTCTCGCACTCGTCCACCTTGCGCCGCAGCACCGTGATCTCCGCGTCTTTCACTGCGATGGCCACACCGCCACCGAGCGCGGGGCCCGGGATAGCGGGGGGCTGCGGCGGCGGCGGAGCTGCTCGGGCCCCTGGGGAGGGGGGGGGGCAGGTAGAACGAGGGGATCACAGCATGCAGATGTACGGCGAAGACTCCGCAAGAAGGAGCCGCGCTACATCCCCAGACTACTTCCCAAAGGACTTCAGAAGCACCACCACGCCCTTCGCGCAAGCTGCTAGCCAGCCAGGATGCTAGTAGCCCCAGCACCCAGATCAAAGGGGCGGGTTGGGAGTCCCTAGACTTGCTCAACTGACCTTGCGCAGCGACCACCTCCACGTTCTCGTCCGCGGGACCGGACGGGACGGGCGGCGGCTGCGACTGCTGCTGAGTGTTCGCCCGCTGCAGCGCTGCCTCCAGCTCAGCCACCTGGTTCCGGAGCGCGTCGTTCTCCGCGGCCAGGCGGGTCACTGCCGCCTCACGCGCCTCCTGTCGGGCCGCCAGCTCCGGGTTATGGCGCAGGTGCAGCACGCGCACACCACCGCCGCGGATGAGCTCACCGCGGCCCAGTCGCTCCTTTGTGTGCCAGTGCAGTCAGGGCCCGAAACAGCAGCAGCAGCAGCAATAACAACAGAAGCGTCATCTGCCCTATGGCGGTGAGGGAATACGCGCATGGATACACCGCCGTCCGGATGCGAGCCGTCCGGGAATGGCCCAGTGTCCCGACATCCGCGGCCCCTTCTCTTTTCCTGAAGGGAAGTACCTATCCCCCTTCTTTAGAGGGAGTAGGAGTTTTAGAGCCTCTATGAACATAAAGCCGCGTGAGTGTTTGGTTGTCCTGTATGTATGTACGGGGGTAGGTAGTATTTCCCGCACACCCCTTCCTCCACCGAGCAGCAGCTCGATGGCGGTCCTTCAGAGGGAGAGGCGTTGGCTGTGTGTGGCTGCCTGGGGTGGGATGGTAATGATGTGCGGTGGTGGTAGTAGTGCCCCAGTGGAGGTAACAGTCGCCGCCCGGGGCGCCGCCTTGCCTGCAGCGATGCCACCTCTCCGGCCAGGGCGTCCGCCTCCTTCTCCAGCTGCTTGACTCGCTGTTCCGCCGCCTCGGCCCGGGCGGTGGAGGCTCGGGCGGCCAGGGCCTGGGCCTCCGCGGCTGAGGTGCTGGCAGCCACCTCCAGCTGCAAGGCCGACACCTAAGAGAGAGTGTGTGTGTGTGTGTGTGTGTGTGTGTGCGTGTGTACGGAGCAGATGTGGAGGGGTGGGGAGGGGTGGGGAGGGGGTTGCAGCCAAGGGACCGCACACCGCACGGAGGGAGGCTCAAGAGTGGATATGGAGTTTGCAGTCCGTCGGGAGGACGCGAGAGTGGAGGGCGGTGTGTGCATAATGCCCTTGTTACTTCTTTCCCCCCTGGAGGGAGAGCCCGGTTGGAGAAAGGGAGTTGCAAATCCTCACTCGGCATCTCCTTCGTTACACGTGTTGTATCTATCGGTCGAGGAGGCTGGTGGGGCCCCACGAGAAGGAAAGACGCGTATGAGTGAAGCGGGGGGCCGCCGGGGGGTGGTGAGAGCAGCCCCTGCCGCTTTCTCCCCTCGGACCTGCTTTTGCAAAGCCTCATTCAGCTTCTGCAGCTGCTCCATCGCCGCCGCCTGCTGCCCCGCCAGCAGCCGCCCGCTCAGCGAGCCGGGTTGCGGCGGCTCTATCCGCCCACTTGCCGCCGCGGCCCCGTGTGGCCCCCCGCTGGTGGTGGGGCAGTGGTGGGACAGTGCGGCCCTCAGCGCGTCCCGCTCCTGCTCTATGGCCGCTGACCGCCGCTCAGCCACTCGCTCCGCTGTGAGGGAGCGCTCCAGGCGAGTGCGTAGGTCGGCGAGCTGGGACTGCAGCTCTGCGGCATAGGCCTCCGAGCCGCTCGCCTGTTGTGGGGTAGGGGTGGAGGGGAGGGAGCGACACCAGGGACAGTCACCCAGAGGGGGGAGGGGGGGCTCCAGGTGGAGGGGGGAGACGAACACGCGGCGGGGCAAAGCAAGTCAACAAAAAGGGGCGGAGGAAGGAACGAGCGAAGCAAGCCTGGTCAAGTCTTTGCGAAGTCAGGCGGTACAAGTTTGAGCTTCGGAGCCTCCTTGAGGAATACTTCCTTGCGGGCGAGATGGGGACCTCATGGGGGAATGAGGGAATACCGCGGGTAGTACAAAGGTGCACTCAGGTGGGGTGACTCGGGGATAAGTGGGGATACCGACGAGTCTGCGCGCGCAGCAGTGAAATATGATAGGTGTCTCGCACCGCGGCACGCAGCCGCATCAGTGATTCGTCCTGCGCCTTGACGGCGGCGCGTAGGTCTGCCGCCTCCTCCGCCAGGGCCGCCGCTGCCCGGGCCACCTCCGCTGTCTGTGTAGCCAGGGGGAGCCCGGGGGCCACTCCCACCACCTGCACACGCACATACAGATTGCGGTGAGCGGAGTGGCGGGTCGCTAGGTGGAGGTGGCGGTGGAGGTGAAGGTGGCGGTGAGGGGATCCAGCACCTCATCCCACCTTGACGAGTGTGGGCCAGGCTGCACGGAGGGCCTCAGGCAGCGCCCCTACCGCCTCCGCGTCACCACTCGCTCCGCCAGCCCCGCTTCCGCCTCCGCCGGCTGCACCTGCCCCTACCGCCGTTGCCGTGGTGGCTGTGCCGCCGCCGGCTGTGCCAGCCCCCCCGGTGCCGCTGATCTGGCCCAGCGGCAGCGGCAGCTGCGGCCCGACCTGGCGGTCGCCTCGGGGCCTACCGGGGCCCGCAGCTGCCGCGACCTGCGCCTCCGCCTCCGCCAGCGCCTCCCTGGCTGTCCGCAGCTCCTCCTCTAGCAGCTGCAGCCGCACGTGCTGGGCGCTGCTGCGGAGAGCCGCCATTTCGGCCTCGTAGCGGCCAGCCCGTTTCCGGGTTTGTTCTAGCTCTGCCTTGAGGCTGGCCGCCTGGCTGCGGACCTCCTCCAGCTGGGACTGGGTCACCTGCGCAGATCACAAATATCACCGATCGAACCACCGCCCCCGACCGGTGCCGGCCATCGCCACCACCACCACCATTACCACAAACACACAAGCAAGCGTACTGGGACAGTCATTGCATGTGCGGGTCATGTTACTAACATGTGGGTGCGGGAGGGGCCGTCCGCCACCGTGGGGAGAGGCAAGTGCATACCCGACGTGGGCGATAACGTCTCGTGCCGTGTTGGCACTGGGACCACTGGGAAGAAGCCTTGTTGTTACACTTAATCCTTCCCCCTAGACGGGTAAGAAAGCGTTGGACGAGACACACATGTCCCTCAACACTAAATATTTCAATATTCATAGTCCAAGTCCCCAAAAGGTCGGACCCAGATCGCCTAAAATGGCATCGTCATCGTCTTCCGGTGGGTTGGTGAATGGCTGGTCGTCTTCTCGGTGGTGGTACGACTCCACCTTGAGGATCTCCCGCTCAGTCTCCACCCGCCGCTGAGCCGCGCGATCCGCCAGCTCGGCGTTCCGACAGGCCATCTGCGCCTCCGTCCTAACCGCCTCCATCTCCATCCGCAGCCTAGCTGCGGCCGCCTCTGCCTCCGTCAACATCTTGGCCTGCTCCCCCCGCTGCTCAGCCAGCAGGGACTCCAGGATTGCCAGGCGTTGAGTCGAAACGGCCTGGAGTTGGCGGGAGAGGGTAATTGGAAACACGGGGTGCTTGCGTACGGGCTTTGCACACATGGGGGGATGCACTCGCTGGGTGGGCGGGCGAGTGCGCGCGTTGGGGATGCGCAGGGCCTTATGTGTGCCTGTACGCCGCTGTTTGGTGGCGCGTTTTGCTGGTCCCGTGCTGTATCGTGTCCAGGCGAGTTGCGCACCTCGCGCTGCTTAGCCGCTGCCAAGTCCTGCTCCAGCAGCAGGGCCTTGTGCAGCTGCTCGTCGAGCTGCCTGTGGAGGTGCTTCAGGGGGGCAGAGGGGCCGCTCGGAACGGCTGCTGCGGCTGCCTTCAGCGCCTGCGCCGAAGCGGGAAGGGGGGGCGAGAGGTCCTGTTGAGGAGGTCTTCGGTCGCCTAGGTACAAGCTGCGCCTGACCTTGTTTTCTGCTGTCAGGACTGCTACCAGGTCGTTCTTATCGGCGAGCTCCTGCTGCAGCTTCTCCGAGCGGCTGCGAGCCTGAGCTAGCTCGTCTTCCAGCTCCTTAATCTGGCCGAGAGAGGGACATGGCTGAAATCTACATAGGAGAAGTATGAGTAGTGGAACTTCGTCCTTGTACCTTTCCGCCGCGAATACGCAAATAATCCATGAGGCCGTCGCCGGAAGGCATGCACGAGAGCCTGCGCAAAGAAATTCCGCGCAGGCCTTCGCACTTGCCCTCATGCGAGACCCTTTTGCTTCGTATACAAACCTGTCAAATGTAGCTGAAGGAAGCACGGAAGATGCCGGCGTCGACAAACCCAATGCTTGGGGCAATTGCCCGCCGGGCGTCTGCAAGGCCAATCGTGGCCTTTTACTCGCATCTACCGTGCCAGGCTGCATTTCGCTTGGATAAGGGTGTTTCATTCGTGATGTCTCTTTGTCGTTTTAGCGCACAGTGCAGAATTGAAATCCTCTGAAGCGAACGTGCCCGAACCACCTGAGCTTTCTTTGTGACATGGCGTCCGGTTAAAATCATGCGGTAACTCACCGCTTGTGGACGTTTGGTTTCGGAGTACCTAACCGATTAAAGTCATCACACGCGACAAATCTTCCTCGCACTATGAATTTGTACTTTGCTTTTGCTTTTTGTTTTTCATACTTAGGAAGTCCGAGGGCGCTAATGGAGAGCTGGTGTTGCGTCTTGAATCGGGTGCACCCGGTGTCAAGGGCTCTGTATGGAGCTCGGTGCTTTACGTCGCCGCTTCATGGGATCCATACGAGCTCGTGGATCGCGGTGTGGCTGCAGCAGCTGCCTTGTCGGGAGGTGCCCGCCCGCGCAGGGCCAAGGTGCTGCCGGCTTCGCTGGATGGCTTCGGGTGGTGCACCTGGGACGCGTTCTACAGCACCGTCTCCGCACGCGGGCTAGCTGAGGGCCTTAGCAGCCTGGAGGATGGCGGCGTATCGCCCCAGTTGCTGATTATTGATGACGGCTGGCAGGTAACGCCCGTCCAGGCTGGTTGGGAGTTGAGGGGGACGGACACGGCCCCAGATACGGTGTGGCTGCCGGCATGCCCGGTTGTGGAGCTGGCAGTTGCCGTACGGGAGGGTACGGAAGCTAGGGGGGTATCGTGGTTTCGCTGGGTGGGGAGGTGGGTGGCTGGGTGATCCGCGGGTGTGAAGTGGTCACAGCACAGCACACTACAGGGGTGTTCCCAATCGGACTCTCTTTGACGAGTGGAGCAATGTACGACATAACACAGCGCAGCTAACGGCCAATGTTCTCCCCTTACCCCTTCCTTCCTCCCTCCCTCCCGCGCTCGCTCGCTTGGCAGTTGTTTTACCTGGCTTTGCATCCCATTCCGCCCCGCCTCGCACGGCCTCTTCCCCACCCTTTTCGAGACACACACACACATATAGATACACGCACACACATACAGACATTCGCATTTCTTCCGCCCCTACAGATGACGGATGTTGACCCGCCTATGCGCCGTACGCCCGCTGCCGACCTGGCTGACCGGCTGCATGTGGAGGGGGAGCCCAGGAGGCTGCTGGAGGCCACCCAGGTGGGGGGTGGGGGGTGGGGGGG